GGGGGAGGGAGGGTCTGCAGAGAGGAGAGTGGGGACCAAGTAGAGCCGCTTTATTCACCCTCCCGCTCGCCCAGGGAGTGGCATCGCTATTCCTGGTTTTATGGACTGGCGATCCTGAAGACTGCCTTTGGAAAAAGTGTGCCACGGACACAAGTTTGCAAACCAGTGACGCAGATCGCGTGCATGGCCCCCTCAAGCCCCGGCATGCCGTAATGGAAAGTGAGAGACGCAGAAAGAAGATGAAGAGACGGTACAGTTTCACAGTTAAGCCATCGTCTCTGGAGCGAGCCAGCTTTCAGTGAATCACTGAACATCTCTGAGGCGTCCTCGCTCGTGAAGCGGGTGGGACACTGAAATGAACCATACGGGATTGCCATTTGGACAAACAAAAGATGGTCAAATGTCTGCGTTTTCATAGGAATCCTCCTAGTATTTATAAGAAAAACACGGCTTCGAACGGTGAATCAAACAAGGTAATCCAAGGATAGGACCGAGGCAGATACGCTAGCTTTTCCCCAAAGCTGCGTCTTCTCCCAGATACACAGATGCGATACATTTCCCTGCCTCACGGCAGACCCGTGCCCAGCGGCTGAGTTCCAGCCGATGGAAGGGGGCCCGAAAGGGTATTTGCCACTTTTAGCCTGGCCCTTTCAAACTGCTCACGTGCAATCCCCCATGTTCTTTACTTTTCCACCTCAACTGTGGAAACATCAGGTGGGTGGAGCACAAGATGGAACAGGCTGGATCCCTGAACTGCTTCTCAGAGTAAAGCTATTCATAAAAGAAAAAAATCTATTTCAGACTCTGCGCAAACAAGAAATAACCTCTGTTGCATTAAGCCATTGAGATTTGAGGGCGTGTTTGTTATAGCAGCGAGTGTTACCCAGCTATATATGTACTTAAAACACGGTAAGGCATCAACAAATGCTAGTCATGAGATGATGATGATGATGATGATGATGATGATGATGATGATGATGACGACAATGGCGAAAATCCCAACAGACCAAGGGCCCACAGGGCAGGAGAGGGGAGGGTTGGCACTACCTAGATTTGACTTAGTGGCTGTGGCTGGGGCTCACCTCCTTGGTGCCATTGTCTTGGATGAGCGTGTAGAGTGGTACCACACGGTTGATTTCCAGCAGCACCGGCGTGGGGCTCAGCTGCTCCTTGCCTGGTCGGCGGCAAAGGTGGCAGGTGGATGGGCAGCGGCCTTTCTCCTCACAGCGGATCTCCACACCCGAGATGAGCTGGTCGTCCGAAAGCATCTGCGCCGTCAGCAGACCTGAGAGGTAGGTGATGAAGGGCATGGACTTGAGCTCCTTCTTGCTGCCCAACTCCGTGGTCTCTGGAGAGGGAGAGAGAAATTCAGAATTGTTCAAAAGGTCGGACTCTTGAGCCCATAAGGAGTCCGATGTGCTAAGGAGCTCGTGTCAGCTGGAAACGAAAAAATATGACAGAGTGGTTTGTTCATGATGCTTCCGTGAGAGCACAGGCCTGAGGGTTCAGAGACCAGGATGGAGCCTTGCTCTTACATTCAACAGCCTTCTTGCTCCCCTTGGGCCTCACAATCTCCATATTTAAAGATGGTAGGTTGGACTAGAGGATTCTCCAAGGACCTTGCAAGATGTTGATATTTGAGGATATTTCCTCCAACCACAAATTCCTTTCTTCTATGGTCAATTTACAGAATTTCTACCTTTCTTTCACAGACTCTCTCCAGCCCTATGTTTTTCATGAAGTCCATGTAACAGGGGAAGCACAGCTTCAAAGTCAAGCCAGTTTCAGTTTAAATCTCAGTTCCACTTGATAACAGCAACACCACCTCGGGAAAAAAAGTCTCTTAACCTCCCATTAGTAACTAATTCTGTAAATGGGATTAATAACACCAACTGAAATAGTTATGAGGGATAAATGTGACAGAAGGAGGTGGACCTGTCTGGAAAAGACATCATCCCCCCTTTCTTTCTGTGCCCATCGGTTCCCTTGTCCAAACTCTTCTCCTGCCTTGCTCTCCCTGTGCACCCTGAGATCTGGTGCACGCATGCTCCATCCTGCGCTGTATCTCTTGATCCGTATGAATAGCATCTCCCAGTTCTGTGCCTTTGCTCACCCTGTCCTACTTTCCCCTCTGCCTCTCCAAATCCTAAGCACCCATCAGTGCTCCATTCCAATGTGACCCTCTTCAGGAAGTCCCTCTTCTTTGCCCCAGTCCCTCTTCTCTGAATAGGTATTTCCACTTATAAGACCTTACCTTGTTAAGCTCATTGTCTCATCCCATTTGCCGCTGACCTCTCTAACTATGTTATCAGGTCTCGGAGATCAGGGCCCAAGTCTCCCACTCCTGTCCCTGCCTCTTCAGTGCCTGGCATGGTGCTAAGGATGTATTTGAAACCAAATCAAAGAGGAAGACTATGGAACTTGGAATGGCTAGAATGACATTCATGACCAAGTCTAAAGGCTCCAAAATTCTTCTGAGGACTTCTAGGGATCCCAGGGAGTACCTCAGCAGCTACCTGAAGAGGGCAAGAGGAAAACCAAGCAGGCAGAAGAACTCTACATTCACATCTCAAATTCAAGTGGAACAGTTCCATTTCTATCTGTTCTATAGACTGGCCTTGTACATAAGATTTCGTAAGGAGAGAGGGGTGAGTGGCTATATCAAAAAGCTTGAAGAGGCAGTGATGTGTACAACCCAGAGGGTTCCATTTACATTACAGACTATGTGAACGGTACATTCAAAGTTGTGCAATGCATGGTCTGGTCTGAGGGGCGAGGGGCTGTACTAAGGAGCAGAGCCTGCTACAGATGGCAGTTTCTTCCAAGCCTGGTAAAGTCAAGGCAAGTTCCTGCCTCAATGGAACCAAGTGCCCTGGATTGTCTCCTGCTTTTGCTCTGGACTTGCAGGGACACGAAGCTGAACTGGAAACGGGCTTGCCAGTTAGAAATACAAATAAATGCAACCTTCATTCATTACCCTCTGGGCCCTGGGGCCTGTTCTCTGGGCTCCACCTTTTCTGTCTGGCTGTCAGCAAATGCTTATGAGCATCAGATCAAAGGCTCTGGGGGAGGAAGACAAGACGTATTCCAGCTAACCAGTCCTTCAGAGGGATTAAAGATGGGTAGTTACAAGATAAACAAAACAAAGATGTGAAGAAGGCATCTCAGCAGCTGGGGAGATGGAGACGGTCTTATATACAGACAGATGGAAAGAAGATGATGACTTTTGGAAGTGTAAGCCAGAGGGATAGTTTTGGAGGAAAATTACTTCAAACTTGGGAGAGAAAATAACAGTTCAGGAGAGAAGGGGCAGGGAGTATTAGAGCTGCAAGGACATCAGGGAGCAGTTAGCACACACTCTGACCCAAAGGTCAGTAAACTGTGGCCCTTGGTTCAAATCCAGCCCTCTGCCTGTTATTGTAAATAAAGTTTTATTGGAACACAGCTGCCCTCATTCTTTCTATTGAGTATGGCTACAAGAGCAGAATTGAGCAGTTGAAACAAAGACTCCATGGCCCACAAAACCTAAAATATTTACTATCTGATCCTTGGCAGAAAAAGTCTGGAAACCTCTGCTCTAGCCTTAGGTTATAGATGGGGAAACTGAGTCTCAGAGAGGGGTCAACCTATAGTCAAACAAGAATGTGGAACAATGATGGATTCATTAAAGAAAACCTGGAATTAACTGGACCATCAACACACTTGGATTGTGCATCTCCAAGGAGACAACCGTGGCACATCTTTTCTCAGTAAGACATCTTTCAAAAACAATTGAAAAGCACACCTTTGAAAAAACACTATCTAGTACCACTCTCCCATTTTAAACAGGAGGAAACTGTGTCCCAAGAAAGGAAAATTACTTTCCAAGGTCACAGGGTGAGTTAGTGATTTTCAGCACTGGCCCCAGTTTGTCTGATCAATACACCACTTCAACCATTGTTTTTATGTTGTATTTTATGTAGTTTTTAATTTATTGATTTGAGAGAGAGAGAAGGGAGAGAAGGTGCATGGGGGGGAGGCATCGATTTGTTGCTCCACTTATTTATGCATTCTTTGGTTGATTCTTGTATGTTCCCTGACTGGGGATTGAACCCACAACCTTGGCACATTGGGACCACGCTCTAACCAACTGAGCTACCCAGCCAGGACTTATCTCTTATTTTAAAACGCAGATGGCCTGCCCCTCATAGCACCTTGCAATGTGCACATAATTTAACTGAGAAGGAATGCAACGTGGGGCTGGGAGTAAGACATTCCCTTGATCAAACAAACATTCATAGCCATTGAGTTAAAGATATAACTACCCATTTAACAATAAAACAAACTGTAGCTGTTTGCTGGTCTGCCTTTGCCTAATAAATTTTAGCTTTTTCAGTCAATCAGGTCAACAAATGGGGTTAAAAGCCCAGAGTCCAGGCTGAAACCTGCGCCGAAGTAGTGGTACAGAATTCACAGCCGAACTCAAGGGCTGGTTTTGCAAAAGGAAGGCACTTGGGTGTCATCTGGTCCCGCTCCACCGCTGAACAAGTAAAGGACCCAATACCTAAGTGCACACTTATTAACAGTGACCCTTTCTGGAAGGATTGCGTCATGTCTAAGTCATGATCTGGACGAAAGTTGCAAGGGGGAAGACCTTCAGCCATTCTGTTCGTTGCTCCACTGAAGACATTCCAGTTGCTAAAGCTAATTGCTTCTGAAACCTCACTCTGTGGCTAAAGTCATCTCTTTAAAAGGTGAAGCCTATGTTCTGCTCCTGCTTAAAGCTCTTCCATGGCACGTCACTGCTCTTAAGATAGAGACCAAAATCCTCACTACGACGTGTAGGTCGTGTGGGATCCAGACAACCTGTTGGCCTCTCCAGTCGGATCTCTTAGCCTGCTGCTCCTAGCTCTCTGACTTCCAGCTACACGGGCCTTTAAGTTCCTTGCATATCCGCTCGCCTTTTTTTCCCAGTCTCGGCAGATGCTCTTCTTACAGAATGCTTTCCCCCATCCATCCCACCCCTAGCCCCTGGCTTCTCCTGGCTCCCGCTCATCCTTCAGATCGTAGCTCAAGAGCCAGTTCCTCAGCAAAGCCTCCCCTGAGCTGCATCCCGCATGCCGCCAGTCTATATATCAGGGTTTCCCACTAAAGATCCTCATAGCATCCTGCTCTACGGGTCGCCTGCTAATGTCCCCAGACTGCGAGTTCCAGAGGGGCAAGAACAGTACTAGTCTTGCTCATTCCCACACTATCCGCTTTACACGGTACCTGGAACACAGCTGGCTTCCCACAATACTTTCAATAAGTAGTTGTTGAATATATAACATACTTACATACCCTGATCACTGTGCTCTTATTGAAGCACTGGTGAGTCTAGGAGACAAGACTTGTGAATTTCAAGATCGATAATTAATGGACAGCTCCTAATCCAGTGACCTCTCCCCAAAGTAAAATCGGCGCTCTCGACGGGAACGTTGGCAGTCGAGTAACTGATAAGTCTGCCCGCTGTTCTGACCCCCCTAAGTTTTCACAGGGGGCCTTGCCATGGAGGGGATGGGAGAGTTCATTTGAAACAGGCCATCTTTAACCAGCAAGGATAAAGAGCATTTTTGAAGAGTCTTACCCTCTGTTCGCATTTCCCATCCCTCTGAACAATGCTTCCAAAATAGGATCATGTCTGGTTTCAAGCCCGATTCAGTTCCAATGACACTACAACCCATTCATTTGAGAACCTGCCAACTGAACTCTCTTTTTTCTTCTCCCAAATTCCTGCTGGGTATTATTTTGATGCCACAAAAAAAAAAAAAAAAAAAAAAAAGGCTCCGTTGAAGTGACAACTCCTTGTTGGGAGGGCAGCCAGTGCTTTTCGGCAGGAGGTGATGGCACGGCTTGCCCTCATCCAGAAAACAAAACAAAGGCATGAGACTGAGGGCTTCTGGGAGAGCCAAAGTCGTGCGAATGTTTGTCCAATACTCAGCAACAGCTCAGGGCACTGCCTCTCGCGTCAGGCAGCTTGCTTGGCAGTAGGCTTGCACTTGAAGCATTTAAAGGCTCCACGGGGACCAGAGGGGCTCAAATTAGAAACGTTAAGGGTGGGGGAAAGAGGGTGAGACTTTTATATCATAAAGAATGGCCTTTATTGCAACAATGGCCTCCCAGGAATTGCTAAAATGGGATCATTTCTTAGGCGGAGTAACTGTCTCCTGTTGGAGGAAAGCAAAGGCTCTGAGGCCTGACTCAAGGGCCCAGACAGATGTCCTTAACAAAGGGAAGGGAGCCAGCTGAAGCGCCATCAGCAAGGCCTGCACTGTGTGTCACGCAGGCTGAACTTCTCAGCCCAACAAAGTTCAGCACCGTGAGAGTGCCAATTATAGGTAGCAGTTCCAG